GGACACGTGTCGCAGTTTTGATGTGGGGCCGTAGCCTCATAGCAGGGATCTTGAAAGCAGGAGTGCCTACTGTAATGGAATTGGGTTGGGCTATTCATGATCGTCATTATTACTGCTATGATTATTCGCGCAGCCAGTGATCTAGTTTTTGCTTGTAGCGTACCTGCAAGCCTGGTGATATTTTATTATTTCTATGTAGAGTAGGCATTCCATGGATTGTCTCTCGGCGACTCTGGCCGAGGCCTGCGGCAGCTGCTGAACCGTCAAAGTGTTGAGTCCATGCTTGACGGCAAGGCCAGCGACGTATTTGAGTCTTCGGAATAGATTTTTGCGGGGAGATCCGTTTGAGAGGATGGCCCGGCAGCTTTTCTTTTTGCTGATGCTGCTTGTTTGCAGGAATTGGCTTTCGTCAAGACCACTGACATGAAAAAAGGGTCCGGAACCCAGTTCAACGCACTATTGCACGAGGGGGGGGCGAAGTGCCGTTGTGCGTTGGACGCCGGCGTCCAACGCACAAGGGCACTTCGGGTCCCCCTCGTGCAATAGTGCGTTGGGGATTTCTTTGGTTTTTGAAGCTTCAGCCTATTGAAATATAGTGAAATCCTTGGTTCAGCCTATAGAATCCCTTCAAAAACCAAAGAAATTTTCAACGCACTATTGCACGAGGGGGGGCCGAAGTGCCCTTGTGCGTTGGACGCCGGCGTCCAACGCACAACGGCACTTCGGCCCCCCCTCGTGCAATAGTGCGTTGAAAATGGTTTCTGAGAGTTTCCCGGGCCGAGGTCAGAATGTGCGCCGCCCGGGGAAAAGTCGCTGCCCCGGACTGTGCAACCCTCAGAGCTGTAATATGTGTGGCCATTGCAAGCAAGACAGCCAGCATATTTGCTGCGTGACACAGTGTCAGATTTCCCAGGCGTGGTTTGGTTTCGCAAAAGGACGGGCTTCCAGGTCTGCGTGTGGTGTTAAGTTTAAGTATACCTTGTTAGTATACGTAAATGGATGTCTGTTGACTGTTGTTACATATGTGTGTGTGTGGCTCTGGATCTTGGATGAGGGTTTCGACTTCAGGTTCAGGGTCAAGATATGTGTTGATTGATTCTGGGATGCAGGGTTTTTCCATCTTGCCTGGCCTGGAAGTTAGATGACACTAGTGTGTCAGTTGCTGGCTTTTGGGAGATTTCTTTGGCAGCAATGACTGTATCGTTGTTCTGGCCACCACCCAGCCACGGAGAGACACAGACAGGAGGAAGAAAGATAGAGGGAGAGATAGAGAGAGAGGGAGAGAGAGAGCCAGAAAGAGAGAGAGAGAGAGAGAGTTTGAGCTTCTTCATCGAACCGTCAGCCAGTGAGCCCTAACTCATTCCTGAAATTAACGTCGGATACAGCCATGGTAAGGTTGGGTTTTTGGCTTTTTCAATGGTGGTCTGATGTTGGCCATCATTGAAATTAATTAATGGTTGCGCAGTGGCAATCATTAATTGAAGAGTGGTATGGCATTAGTATTTAATGCTGGCTGTATGGCTGGCATTAAATCATGGATAGGTATAGAGGCTGGGATTGTTTGTTGAAGGCGAACTTTCATCCCAGGATGTGCTGCGATACCTGCTTGACTAAGTCTGCTGCTATAAACCTCAACCATGTCCTGGTACCTGCCTGAGACTTCCTGCGTGTCGCAGGGAGATGCGGAGCTACGTGCGTCAAGGCCCAAGTGTTTGCGAAGCTTTGAAGTTAATTGTTCTTTCCGCTTGGCATCTTGAGCAACAGAAGCACATGCCGAAGATTTTGGGGTCGAAGACTCTCTCGAGACTGTGGTGAGTGGGGGTGCAATGGCCCAAGCTACGAGGGCCCGCTCCAAGCGAGCCCCCCCTTCTGCTGAAGCCACCACGGGCCCCACAAGCTCGCACCCAACCGAGACCTGGTTCAAATACCGGGGAGGGGGGTTGCGTCCGAATCCTGTGTGCAATGCTTGGGCTTGCATGTCTGAGGTGTCATTTGTTGCGGAGATTCATAGCTGCCTCGCTCCTGAGTTGGATCTCCTGAAGGACTCGAGTCCGGAATGCTGGGGAGGGTGCCTTGACCGCCTTAGCCTTGCCGTCATTATCAATAGGTCCTGGCGTCCTGCATTGTTTTCCTAGCGCTAAGAATCAATGCCCTCAGCGACGCGGACTTTGCCACTATTTTGGCGAGTTGCGGAAAATATGAATGCACGGTGACGTTGGACAGTTTTGGAGCCGGGCCCGATACCTCCTTTGCCCATGCCGGCGTGCTGCCATCCATCGGGAGCATTCAGAGGGTGGCAGAACACTTTTGGAAAGACCCCATGACTGGCGAGTTCTTGCCGAACGACTGCCCGGTGGCCATCCCAGTGCCTTGGTTCACTATCAGCAATACACCGGTCGACCGTGACCGCCCGATTCTGATGCGGATGCCTGCTAGGTGCGTGTTGCGAGCCCTGCGAGTCCTCCCCTCAAAGGGCATTATCAGCTGTTGGGGATCCTCGGCAGCATGCCAAATGACAAATTGAATTCGTCCGAAGGGCATTTGTTGCTTCCCTCCTTATTTCGAGGCACGACACAGTGCTTCACGGCCTCAAGTACGTTCTGGCAGAGGTCAAGAAGAAGCACGGGCTTTCTAAGGAGTTCCTTCTGCGCATGCGCACGGTGCGTTGTCAGTTCTTCCTCTTGGAAGATCAGGCAGCCTTTGAGCGCAAGAAATGGGAGTTGGACGAAGATTTGGGGGTGCAAGCTGACCAGAGAACCTTAGTGGGCTTCAACGTGGTCTTGGGAATCGGACGTGTGTTCGATTCCTTATGCCGTCCTGGGCATGACGCTTCGCATGCGGAAGTCTGCCAGTGGTTGAAGCAGGCGAAGCTGAAGGACATGAGTGTCAAAGTTGTTGGCACTTTCCTTCGCGTGCGCGCCCGCTACACCTCGAAGGCCGTGGTGCCCCAATTGCATCATAAATTCTTCCTTGCCTTCTGATTCAAGTCAAAGATATTACCTCAGCCGAGGATCTCATCGGGCAGCTAGATTCGGAGTTTGGCCCCACCAAGCATACCTTTGCCTTCGTCTCCAACCTCGACCTCTTGTCGCAGAGAACGGCATGTGCAAGGAATGGTGCATTGGCCCCAGCCTCAGTCTTGCAAGGTATGTCTCTGAAGTCTTCATCGCCTTCGACTTTTCGCCAGGCCGAACAGCTGCTCGTCTGGGTGCTTCATGACTTCGTCTTCCAGGCGACAGTGAAGAAGGCCGGCTTTTGCTTTTGTAGTACTCTGTAACATGAGCTCGCAAGACGAATGGTATTCAGTCCCTGCCTGCAGTAAGTCTAAGTCTAAGATCGGCAGCAGTACTGATTGTTGACACAGATTGCGGGCGCTTCGTCTGAGTCTGTGTTCGAGCTTCTTCATCTAACCTTGAGCCAGTGAGCCCTAACTCATTCCTGAAATTAACGTCGGATACAACCATGGTAAGGTTGGGTTTTTGGCTTCTTCAATGGTGGCCTGATTTGGCCATCATTGAATTGAATTAATGGTTGCGCAATTGCAATCATTAATTGAAGAGTGGTATGGTATTAGTATTTAATGCTGGCTGTATGGCTGGCATTAAATTATGGATAGGCATAGAGGCTGGGATTGTTTGTTGAAGGCGAACTTTCATGCCAGGATGTGCTGCGATGCCTGCTTGACTAAGTCTGCTGCTACCTGCCTGAGACTTCCTGCGTGTCGCAGGGCGATGCAGAACTGAAACGACCGCAATTGCTGGCCTTCATCGGGCGTTCGCTTGCGAAGCGTCGAATTGTCTGTTACTATGCGGCCAAGTTTCGTCCTCATGACAAGGACAGCGGCAGATTGTGTTGCGCAGCTGAGTGTTGCATACGTTCAGCGCATGCTTGCTGAGGAGGGGCATGTGTACCAGACAGACCGAGAGCCGTCGAAGGCCTCGCCAAAAACCGACCCTAAACCCTAAACCCCTAAACCCTAAACCTGACCAGGTCTTGTCGCTGTTCTCCGACTGGGGTAGCTTCCTCGAGAGCGGCTTGTCGGGCGCAGTTGTCAAGGGGGCTATGCATCTGGCTTGGCTGCGCGAGCTCCCGGACTATCTGCAGGACATGTCTTCGATCAAAGCTTGAGTCATTCCGCTTGAAGTCGTTAAAGTTAGAACTCCAGTTGGCAATCCTCGACAGGACATCGTCGAATACCTGGCGGCTTTGCTGTCGGGCAATAGCAAGTGGGACGACGCCTTGGACAAGGCGGTGTCAAACGATTTCCTAGTGGCAGCCGAGAAGCTTGTGGCGGATGAAGAGACTTTCGGCATGAATGTGGAAAGCCTGAAAGAGCAGATGGCAGCAGATGCGGCCCCACCCGTGGCAAGGTCTGTGCCGGCAGTGCCAGTGCAGGTACCAGGGGAACCTGAGCCAAAGGCGGAGGCACCCAAAGATGCAGAGCTCGCCCAAACAGATCCGGACCCAGTTGATGCTGGTGAAGCCGCGGATAACACAAAGCCAGCTTCGCGAGCGACGTCGTTCCCTTCCTTCTGTTTGACGCAGTGCCAGCGGGACATGTTGGACAGGCTCCCCGATGACGAGTGGGAGAAGGCTCTGCAGTATGCTCGCACAAGTGTCTCCGCTAATCAAACGCTCCGAGGATGGTAGCTTCTGAAAGTCTAAATCCACGAGTTGTTTAATAATAATAATGAGGTGCCTTGACAGCCCGCATCAGCATCGATCGGTTGGACATCGATGACAAAGATGACCGCCCCCGCCTTCACATTGTAGATGTGAAAACTCTTGCAATTTCGGATGCGGAGAATGCAGCCAAACACCCTTATCGGTTTCTGCCTGCCTTTGCCGGTGCAAAGCTCAAGGAGATCCTTTCCAGCATTCTGGGGGATGGCAAAACTCCCACGAGCTTCAGGTCGTGCGACGCCCTGTTGGTACTGGACGGACGGAGCAGGAAGTATGACAGAGAAACGACCAGATTGCTCAATCAGCACTTGAAGCATGTGAAATCGGAGAACCTTCCTGCACGGAAGTCTGATGTTTGGAGGTTTTTTTACCATAACCGAAGCTTGGATTGATTTTCTTAGATCACAGTCCTGGATTCCATTCCCGTCCACAAGTATAGCGCTTATTGGAAATTCAGGGGAGTTCATGGACGGCGGCTTCGTTCGCAAGCGCAGCGTCGATTCGGTCCAGTGCCCAGACCCACTCGAGAGCGGCATCTTCATTGGCGGCAAGGATTTCCGCAAGTCGTTGAAGGCAAAGCCACGAAAGCATTTCGACGTGGGGTCTACGAAGCTCAATAGATAATTAATCATCAACCACTGTTGCCTTGCAGCAGCTTGTTTAAGAGGCTAGAGGTTGGAGCGAGAAATCCAAGGAATGAGTCGCGCGGGCTCAGCGGATTGCCATTGAATGTGGAGCCACTTCGGGTCCTTCCGGACATTCGCAAAGCTTTGGCCTCCCCAGCCACAGCGGAAAGCAGCAGCCAGCAGGAGCCGACAGTCTCAGATGATGGAGGACCTGCCCCAGCTGAGCAAGGTCAGCTCATCTTCCCATGGGAATGGCCGGAGCTGGTGTGGGATGAGATCTTTCATGGCTTGACTTACGACACGGATGATCCTGCTGCTGTAGTTCAGTGACTTGACAAGATCTTGTTTTAATGATTGTGATGACGAGCTGCTACTAATGGGACCATAATTACGCACCCCAAACTAATAGTAGTTTGGGCTTCAGGCTCAAGTATAGGGTGGCGGGTCTAGCGCTCCGGGGTTGAGCTGAGGATTTACCACCATGCGGCGGACAGTGGCCACGCTGCATTGGCTGCGTTGCGTTCCAAGTCTTGCAACGCAGCGCATCCGTACACGTACCACTGCGCGGCCATGTCGGATCGTCACCGTGCGCTCATGAGGGAGTTCTTGACTTTCAAGATCATTGCGGACATCAGCAGTGGCTCGCGAAGCTGGGGCCGACGCCTCAAGAAGCAGATCTCGCTGTCAGGTCAGTCCCAGCGTGTTGCTTCTCCCTCTGATGCGACTCCGACAGAGCCTCCTGAGAAGAAGCAGAAACAGGCGGCCGATGACGATAATGAGGAATCCGATGGCGAGTCCAGTGCCACCACCGAAGACTGAGAGTTTTCGGCTGCTGAAGTCCTTGCTGTTTTCCCTGATCGGTGCCTTGCAGCGGTAGCTTAGCTTTAGTTGTGCATGAGGGGTGCAAAGCTGCAAAGATTTCATGGGGACTGCTGCAAGTGCATACGCCGCATGTACGCGGCTTTTTAAAGGGCTGTCCGCCCGACTTGTCGTGTGCTACTTTGCAGTCGCAAGTAGCTTTTTCTTCGATGCACGGGGTGGTCTTCAATATCTTCGCCGAAATTCTTTAAGCACAGCTGGTGCAGAGCACGAATCCGCTCCCGTTGAAATGATGTGGCTCCTGTCGTGAGGACAAGCAGCATGCTGCAATGCTCGTGTGTGAAGTGTCTTGCCTACCTGAGATCATCTGCAAATCTTCTCGCGCAAACGTCTGTGACTTCACAAAAGACTTCTCGAGCTGTCCAGCTACTCAGCCGCATCTGATTTTGCATCTTTGCTTCATGGCAATGGATGCTGCTTCCGACAAGCATCAGCCGGCGCCCCATCAGCCGGCGCCCCTCCATGGATTTGCGGCCTTTCCGCTCGACTTCGATTTTCACAACATGAGGGATGCCAAGAAGCTGCCCTTCTACAACTCTGTGGGTGAAGCAGTTTGTGCCGAATTCCGCTCCATGGTACGAACGTGCTCTGGCTGCATTGCTTTTGTTGTCTTACACACGTGATGCCAGCCATTCCTGCAACAATAGTCGTCTGAAGGACCGGCTACAAGATCTCTGAAGGAGAACCGGGATCGGAAAGGAAGAGGAAAGCCGGCAGCGAGCAAGTTGCCTCATTCCTCCGCAGGCGCTCTTTCAGAATCATCCGTGTTACGATCCCTGCCGAACATCGACAATCATCATGGGAGCGTGGCTATGTCTGCTACAAAGGAGTAGACGCTTTTACCCTGCCGGCCTACCGCGTTAAGAACCCGGAGGTGGCAAGCGAGATGGTGATGCACACCTGGATTGCGACACTCCAGGTGAAATGTGACGATCAGGGCAGCTTGACTCACGTTAGGTCTTCACGTTCTTCCCAAGCTTTGTTGTGTGTCACGGACAGTGATGCTAATGTGAGGTGAAGACACTCATAAATGCGTGTGGAACTTTTACGTGCTGGCGGACGAGAACGAGAACTTCAAGGTCAAGCAATGCATCGTCAAAAACCTCGCTGGCAAGAAGACGTTGGACGAGGGGGACCAGCAGCAAGAGCAGGCTGCCTGGACCGTGTACTTCGCGAGCCCCGGCATCACGACTCTTTGGGGGTTTTGGGTATCGTGTGGCAGGCGGCTGAGTGTTCCCTTGATGAACTACGCCAATGTTGAGCGCATGCCAGCAGATCTCATGCACACGCAGTCGCCCATGTCCGACTTCTACAAAATGCCAGTGAACTCTACCTGGGACCGAGCCAACAAACTGGTTGGAACAATCGAGTTTGTGAAGGATATGGAGAGCAGCTTGAGCAACTGGTTCAAGTGCATTGCTGCGAAGACCTGTCGACTTCAGATCCAGGATCTTCAGCGTGAGATTGCCTATGCTAAGAGTGCCTTGTCCAAGAATGAATGTTCACGCAAGCTGCCTTGACCCAAGATTGTTAGCTGCTCGTGACCGCGAACTTAGGCGTTGTGGTGGGTTTGGAAAGAAAGAAGACTAATCTCATCTCTCGGCTCTCTGAGACTGAGCAGGCGGCCCTTGCAAGTGTTTCCAATGCCGGCGAAACTCCGGAGGAGGCCGATGCCCATGGCGATGAGTGTTCAAATTCGAGCGTTGAGTGAGACAGCAGTCTCTGAATCGGCTACTGTGTTGCCTCTTAAGGCCGCTTTTTGATGCTGTGCCCGGCCAGAGCGTAAGGGGGAATTTGTCATTTCGGCAGCAACTTTTTCCAACGTGGAGTCGTGGCCACACCTGTGTGCGTTTCGTGATATTGGTCGGGCATGACAGCGATGAGAACGCTGCCGCTTTGGCGTTCTTCGGACCCTTCAAGCTTGAAGGCTTTGGCTAAAAGAAAATATCGAGCTGGGAAGCTGCGCCAGTGCCAACCTGAATAGTTCATGGTTCCATGCATGGCTCACGTGGTGCTGCTATCCAATGCTGTGCATTTTGCCGTCAGATGCACTTCTGCACAGCTCCCAGGTTCCTGCCGCTCGTGGAGTTCAACTCCCAGCTTTCGATTCAGGATTTCCCATACTCGTAAGCGGAATACTTCGACTTGAGATTGCATCTATTTCCGTGTCTATCCATGTAGGTCTTTTTCCGGATACTTGTGAACCCTTTGCCAGCAGTTCGCTTTGGTAGTAGTGAAGTTTGTAATGCCTGTTCAACTAATGATGCCTGACCAGTGCAAGAGTCGGAAACCCCTATGGCCTAAAGTCTAGGGGCCGGGAGTTTGCCCGAACATTGTTATTGAATTCCTCTGCACCAGAAAGTCCATTTCAGGTCGAAGACGGGTCGTGCCGGTCGTGCTGCCACGGCTTGGCTCTTGGCGATCGCAATTGACTCTGATTAGCATCGGTCCTAGCTCACAAAGATTTAGTCGCAGTTCGCTTGCTTGCAGCGCCAGTATATTAAGAATCAGGAGCGTCAGGGCCAGAAACGCAACCGTGCTTTGGAGGGATGATAGGTTGGGGCTGAACCCTCCAAGTTCGTGCACGGTGCTTGACTGATCCGCTGAGGTTAAAAGCCCAGTTCTGGCATGCGGGAATAATAAATTCTTTTAAAGATATGAAGATCAGAGTGAAAGTGGCTTGTTGCTGTGATGGCAGGTCTTTGAGCACTTTTTTGCTGCTGCCGAGTGTCTGCTGACTAGATCATATCTGAGCACGTAGAATAGCATTGTGAGGAGTTGTCTTACATAAGCAGTCCATCACAAATAATGCTGTTAGTCTCTATCACTCTTGTGCCTTGGAGTCAGAACTTAAATGCAATAGGATCTGCGCAGATGCGGTTGGGAAAGAATGTAAAGTCCCGACCGTGTGTGTGTGTGTGTGTGTGTGTTTGTTTGTGCGTGTATGTATGTATGTGTGTGTGTGTGCGTGTACGTGAAAAAGTAATGAATCAGGTCAGTCCCCAAGATATGAGGAAGGTCAAGAATCTGGCAAGGCTGGATATCTGTTTTTTTTATCATGCTGAGGCCATCGAGACCTACTTGTGTCGTAACCGACACATAATCCAGGAAGGGTATGTAATGAGCATCCGATCACACCAGACAGATGTGCTGGACACATGCATGGACCAATTTGCATTGCTGTCACCCAGATTCTGGCCAGCAGCTGCTGCTGCCTGGCTATGTGCAGCTCTCAGATTCCTCCTGCCCATTTTATGCTTCGCGAGGTTAGAGGGATAACTCTGACGCGGTCTTTGATGGGCTTGGAGCGAACTGCAGTTGCTGCCGCAACACACTGGTGAATAATTACGCGGTTATCGTCCGTGCTTGTCATGTCCATTGCCTCGGACTCGGGGGAGAAGCCAGCATTGTGACTAAGATTTAGTGCCCGCGGACTTGACAAGGTGCTCCCTGGGGGCGCCGGATGAGCCGGAGCTGTGGGTAGTACATACCAGCCAGTCAGTAGTACCTTCGAGCCGAGAGTGAACCATTGCAATCTCATCGATTCATCGACTAGCTGCGGTCTTTTGTTAGGTATATCCCTCCGACTTCTATATATCGGCATTAGTAAGAATCCATAGTGCCAAGCAAGTCCAAAATCCTAAGTGCTCGACCCCATCAGATCTGCGGTGGCCATTATCATGAATGCGAAGCCGATTCTCAGTTTCCTGTCGTGTGCATAGCCTGAGAACATGGGTTATATATGATCTAGTAAGACTACAGTAGCCAGCTTTGGTTGACTCGGTTTCCACCCAGCTTGTCCAGCCAGGACTGCGGTGGCTTCGACTCGGAGGCATCGAACAGCTGTGCAATCATCGTGGTTTAAAATTCAGTTTGCAATTCGTGAATGAAGTCTGAAGCCTTATCATGCAGAGATTATGCTCACCAGTATGGTGTGGGCCAATAGCGAACAGACCTCAGAGCGATGATATGTCTTGTGCACTCATGCAATTGAAATGCCACGTTAGTTGCTATTGGTCAGGATCTCTCTGCAAAAATGCCACGCGCGGTCTTGCACACTGCCACCCTCCCCCTACGCGCTCACAACTGTGGCTTGATGTTGGAACTTGTGGCTCATGCGCCTTAGAACGGGGCCTTCAGCTGTGCAATCTGATTAGAAGCTGTGGCCATCATGGGAAAGCAGCTGGTGAAGAAGAAACCGGCTGCACACAAGAAGCCCTCGCAGAAGGCCAAGACCTGCAAACAGAAACCTCCTCCCACTACGACCCAAGCGCCTTTCCAGCTGGAAAGCTTCTGCAAGGAGATGGTGTCGGTTGCCAGGACCAAGATGCGTGAAGATGGCATTACTACTCTGGATGGTGGCAGAAATGCCTCAGGCTTGCATTTTGCAAGCTGCTTTGATGGCTTGAACGCCCCAGCCTACTTGCTCAAGCATATGGACCTTAAGCTGCCAGCGAGGCAGATCTATGGGGCAGAGTGTGCAGCTGGACCGAACGTGCTCAATCTGCTGAATCATGATCCTATGCACTTGTTTGAAGATGCTGCAGGCACTGGCAAGGCGCTGTCAAAGGCAGGGAGTTTCTGCGTGAAACACGGTCGGAAATGTGTTGTGGAGCAGCAGCCGTGTGTGTGGATTGGCGGTTTCGTGTGCAAAGCCAATTCGGCTTTGCGCGCGAATCGCTGGGATGCCACTGCGGACCCGCTTGGAGATGATTCTGAATCGTTACAAACGTTTGAGTTATCCATCGCTTCAATCAGACACTGTCGTCCAGAGTTCTTCATCCTGGAGAATGTCGAAGGATGCAGGTGGGATTTATGAAAACCTTGCTGATACAAAACATAGGTATGTATATGTATGTATACGGTTGTGACATTTCGCGATTCTTCCCAGGATGGTGCCAAAGGCTTCAACTCCGAGTGCGACTGCGGCTGCGGCAAGT